AGGACTTAAATATTCAAACACTTAAGAATATGGAGTACATCTCATTCACACTACTGCTGTGGATCCGGGTTACCTACTCTGTATGATTATTTCCAGTCACACTCAGTTATTAGTTATCATATTTTGTAATTTTATTTATAGTTCTGAATAAGAGTTGATTGGATAAATGTAGTACATTTTATTATCCATTCATCATTTGATGGACACCTAGAGTGTTTCAATTTACTACTTTATTGTGAATGGAATAGCAGTGCACATCTATGATTTTTTCAAAACAATATCTCACTGTGTTGTCCAAGTTGGCTTTGGACATATGACAATATTCCTGCTTCAGCTTACCACAGACATATGATATGGTACTCAGCTTATATCACAGTGAGAGAAAAAAATTGCACATTTTTTTAGCAATATGATTCTTTAAATTTTATATGGCATGAGAAAGAAGTCAAATTATTTTCAACATAAAATATTTACAATATTCAATGTGCTGTACAATAAGTAAAAATAGTTATCATGTATATATATATTACTCATTTCATGATAAAGTTTCCAGAATATGTGATAATATCACAAATTCCATTTGCTCAATCATTCTGATAATCAAATAAAGAAACAGAATAATTTTTTTGACTAGTTGATATCTTGTGAGAATTAGAAAATAAAATGTATGATTTGTTATTTTCTAATAGCAGAAACTGAAACAATAGATAATTACATATTAATGTTCAAACATCCATTTTATTTTTTATTTTATTTTTATTTAATTAACTTTTTTTCATTTATTTTACATACTAACCGTAGTTTCCCCTCCCTCCTCTCCTCCAATTCCCTCACTTGACTCCCATCTACCCCTTCCCCATCCACTTCTCAGACTCCATTCAAAGAGAGCAGGCCTCCCATGGGATCGAACAAAGCATGGAATATCAAGTTGAGGTAGGACCAAGCTTCTCCCCATGCATAAAGGATGAGCTAGGTAATCCAGCATGGGGAACAGGTTTCCAAAAGCCAACTAAGCACCAGGAACAGATTCTGATCTTCACCACTAGGAGCCTTACAGACAGATCAAGCTACACAACTGTCACATGCATACAGAGGGTCTAGGTCAGTACCATGCAGGCTTCCTAACTGTTGTTCTGGAGCTCCCACAGGCTGAAGTCAGTTGTCTCTGTGGTTTGCTCTGTCCTGGCATTGACCCCCCTGGCTCATACAACCCCTCCTCACTTTCTTCAGGAGGTCTCACAGCGCTTATTCCAGTGCTTGGCTGTGGATCTCTGCATCTGTTTCCACCAGTTATTGGGTAAGGGCTGTCTGATGACAATTAAATTAGTCACAAATCTGATTATAGTAGATGGCCAGGCACCCTCTCCACTATTGCTAGGAGTCCCTTTTCTGGGAAGGGGAAGTAGAAGAGATTTCCTGGAAAAAAAACTCATTTTCTCAGGGCTTTGTCTACTACTCACATGTATTTAAATAATATAGTTGAAAGATTTGTACTTGCAGATCTCTTCTCATATATGATGTCATAACATTTTATTATTAGATGTAAATAGCTATTGTACTTAAGAATAGCAATGTATTCTATATTTATAAAACTAAAATCATTAGTAAAAATAAACATTATATATTTTGAACATCTTTTTGTATTTATATAATGTGTACATACTAAAAATTAAGTTACCAAGCTTTGCTGACTCCCCATGGGAGTCCTTACCCTTTTGGAGGAGGGGATGGTGAGGGGTTGGGGAGGAAGCTGGGGGGGTGAGCAGCAGGAAGGATGGTTGGGGGATCTGTGGTTGATATGTATAATGTGTGCAATCATCTCTTAAATAAAAATTACTGAGAAAAATTAAGTTACTTCTTAGTTTTATAAATATAGAATACATTGCTGTTCTTAAGTACAATAGCTATTTACATCTAATAATAAAATGTTATGACATCATATATGCGAAGAGATCTGCAAGTACAAATCTTTCAACTATATTTTTTAAATACAAAACAATCTGATATGAAATCACTCACTATCTGTCCAGTTCAGTGACTGATGGAGGCAGAGATCCACTGCCAGGCACCAGGCTGAGCTCCGGGAATCCAATTGATGAGAGGGAGGAGGGATTCTGCAGGCGACGGAATTTGATATCATGATGGGAGGACGTGCAAAGATGACCGGCCACACTAGTGGAAGCCCATGAACTATGGACTGGTGGCTGTGGAGCCCCCATGGTACTGGACTAGGCCCTCTGGATACAGAAGATGGTTGTTTGGCTCAAACTGTTTGGAAGGTACCCGGGAAGGGGGATTAGGATCTGTCCCTGGTGCATGGACATGCTTCTGGGAATCTGGTGCCTGTGGTGTGACGCCTTGAGCAGCCTTGGTGCAGTGGGAAGGGGCTTGGACCTGCCTAGGCTCAATGTGCCGGGCTCAGCTGACTCTGCAAGGGAGACCTTGATTTGGGAGAAGTGGGGATGTGGGGTGGCTTGGGCGAGAGGGCTGGGGGTATGGGAGGAGGCAGGAGCGGGGATCTGTGGGTGGTATGTGGGGTGAGTAGAAAATTTCTTAATAAAGAAAAATGGAAGAAAAAATCACTCACTATATGATATAGTCTATCCAATTGACATGATTATGGTAGTGTTATCAGTACTTTAGAAGTACTAGATATGTAAGTTACATGATTTTATAATTTATAATACTACGGCATAAAATAATTAAATAATATTATTTTATTATATAAATTATATATATGCACATATATTTAAAAAGATTGGTCTATAATTTGGCATATATATATATATATATATATATACACTCTTCTATGTTATAAATTGTAGCTTAGAACCTCATAAAAGAGGATAAACATGGTCAATAAGCTCATCCATTATGCACAACTTCATTAAGGAAAAAAATGCTGTTCAAGATGAATATAAGAGGCTGGAGAGATGGCTGAATGAGAAAAAGCATTGTTATTTTGCAAAGAGGCTTTGATCAGGTTTTAGTACTTTTTTAATGTTTCTCTTTTGTATTATAATGTATAATAATATAAGCAATACACCAGAAAAAAAATAGAGATTACTAAAAACTAGACATCCCCTTGCTAAAGGCTTCACTTCCAAAAATTTACAAAAATCTGATAAAATTATAAAACTCATTATACTTAAAATTTTTAGTACTTTTGTAGTGCCTGACAATTACAGTTCCAGAGGCTCTAACAACCTTCTTCCAGACTCTCCTTAGGCACCAAGCATGAATATGGTGTTCATATATACACACAGGCAAAACAAGCATAAGATAAAAATAAGTGATATCCTTGACCCCTCTGCCTAGTACATTTCTTTCTCCTCCTCTTCTGCAAGATTCTCTGAACTCCACTAAATGTTTGGCTGTGGGTCTGCATCTGTTTTCATCAGTTGCTGGATGATACCTCTCTGATGACAATTGGGCTAGGAATCAGTCTGGTCACAGGAAATGACCAGTTCATGCTACATATCTGTGATTGCTAGGAGTTTAAGCTGGGGTCTTCCTTGTAGATTCTTGGGAGATTCACTTGAGCCAGGTTTTACCTAACCCCAAAATGCCCTCCCCCTTCCAGGAATCTCTTTCAGTACTCTCCTCCTTGGTCTCTCCTCACCCAACCTGATTGCTCATGTTCCAATCTCCTCACGCCATTACTTCACTCAGGAAATCTTTTCTACTTCACCTTCCCAGGGAGAACTTGATGTCACCCATGAATCCACTTTTTCAACTAGTCTCTCTGGGTCTGTGGATTGTAGCATGGTTATCCTTTATTTTACAACTAATATTCACTTATGTGTGAATACATACTATGTGTTTCTCAGTCTGGGTTACCTCACTCAGGATGATTATTTTTTTCTAGTTCAATCTATTTGTCTTAAATATCCTAGTGTCCTTGTTTTTAATAGGTGAGTAATACTCTAGTGTGTAGATGTCCCACATTTTCTTTATCAGTTCCTTGGTTGAAGAACATCTAAAAATGTTTCCAGCTCCTGGCTATTACAATTAAAAATGCTATGAACATAGTTGAGCATGTGTCTTTGTGGTATGATTGAGAATCCTTTGAGTATATGCTCAATAGGGGTATAGCTGGGTCTTACGGTAAGCTGATTCCAGTTTTCTAAGAAACCACCTTCCAAAGAAACTGACTTCCAAAGTGACTGTTTTCACTCCTACCAGCAATGGAGGAATATTTCCCTTGCTCCACATCCTCTCCAGCATGAGCTGCCACTTGTGTTTTTTATCTTAGCCATTCTGACATGTGTGAGATGGAATCTCAGTCATTTTGATTTGCATTTGCCTTATGGCTAAGGATGTTAAATATTTCCTAAAATGTTTCTCGGCCATTTGAGATTCTTCTATTGAGAATTCAGATTAGATCTGCACCCATTTTTTTTTAAATCGTATTAACTGGTTGTTTTTTTTTTTTTTTTTTTTTGATATCTAGTTTCTTGAGTTCTTTGCATGCTTTGGAAATCAGCCTTCTGTAGGAGCCAGAGGGGTCAAAGGCACCACAAGAAAACTCATAGATTCAACTAACCTGGGCTCACAAATGCTCAAAGACTGAACTGACAGCCAGGGGGTATGCATGGGGCTGACCAAAGCACTCTGCATATATGCTATAGTTGTGTTGCTTGGTTCTTTTGTGAGACTCCTAAAAGGGGGAACAGGGCTTGTGTCCAACTCTTTTATAAGCTTTTAGTCCCTACTCCTGATATTGGGTCACCTAGCCCAGCCTTAATACATGGAGAGGTACTTATCCTTAGTGCAACTTGATATGCATTTTTTGTTGATACTCATGGGAGACTTGCACTTTCCTAAATAGAAATGGATAAGTAGAATGGGGGGTAGGAGAAGAAGGGGTCATGGGGGGAGGAACTAGGAGGAGAGGAGAGAGGAGAAATTGGCATGAATATAAATAATTTACTTTAAAAAATTTATAAAAGTATATCTTAAAAGTTGTTTTTTTTTTTTTGTTTTTTTTTTTTTTTAGATACATAAAAAGGCTTTATTTGCAGGGGAGCAGGAATTTAATCAAACAAGCCAAATCCCATGTCATCATCTGACTCCTCGGACTCCTCCTTCTTCTCGTCTTTCTTCTCCTCTGCTGCAGCAGGGGCAGAACCAGCAGCAGGAGCTGCAGAGCCAGGGGCAGCAGAAACAGCCACAGCCCCACCAGCAGGCACACTGGCAAGTTTGCCAACACCCTGGGCGATGACATCCTCAATGTTTTTTCCATTCAGCTCACTGATGACCTTGTTGAGCCGATCATCGTCCGCCTCGATGCCCACGCTGTCTAGTATCTTCTTAATGTCTTTGGCGCTGGGAGAGGAGTTGCCCCCAAGGGCGGCAAGCAAGTAAGAGGCGACGTAGCGCATGTCGGCTGCTGCGGACAGGCCTCACGCGTGCGACCTCGGCGGCGTCAGGCAGCGAAAGCTTAAAAGTTGTTTTAAAGATTAATATGAAATTGTCTTAAACACATTAAACTGGAAAAAACTACAATGAAAAATAATTAGTAAACACTCAACAGGATATGAATTATCAATATATGTTGGAATATAAACTATTAAAACGCCTTGAAAAAATTGTTTGTCATTATGTTAAAATTTGATCATCCTTATGACTTATGACTGAACATTTTAATTCCCAGGCGTATAGACAAAGAAAACTTTCCTCTGCTCAGTCATGCATATATAAAGTGCTGTACAAGACAACATTAATCATAATAGAGAAAGATTAAAGAACAGTAAGTATTTATCTATAAGACAGAAGTACAAAGAATGAGGTATATTCCTGAAATAGGGTGATAATTATACTCAAGAGAACCACTACTTAATGCAGTAGTGTGGATAAACTGTGTCAACACAAAATTAAATTGAAAGTCCTTCCAAATATTTGATTGATATTAGCCTAATAATGGCAAATCTCATTGGTTTTTCAAAATTGCATATAGATGTCATAACTTCAATAAACACACCAGAAAATGGGAATAGAAAAACATACGTTTGGGATTTTTTCAAAAAGGAGAGTCATTTTCATGTGGAACTCTTATGTATAAATGCTATGGGCTTAAAAAAAAGACAGAGAAAAAGCATGAGAACATGAAGTTGATTGGCTAATGCTGGGGGATCTGAGATGAATTGGGAGAAGGGATAAATAATAAGCATTATTTTAAAGGATAATTTTTTAAATGCTGCCTTCATTTTTGAAAGATTTACACGTTTATAATAATAATAACAGCAAAAGTCTGTTAGAAATAACATATATGCCTGTGATTTTCAGCATACATCTATCATGAAGTTATAAATAATGAAACAATGTAGATTAAATCATTTGCTTTGTGTCAACTACACGCCATGAGACACATTCATAATTTTTTGTCTATTATTTTAAAATTCTAATTTGAAATATATTTACCCTACTCTACATATATATTATTATATATGTATCTATTTTAACTACTGTATTAATATTGTAATGTTCCTGGGGAGAAAGCAAGTTTATAAAATCTCTCTCTCCTCTCTCTCTCTCTCTCTCTCTCTCTCTCTCTCTCTCTCTCTCACACACACACACACACACACACACACACACACACACACAAACACACACACACACAAAAAGACAATTAGAAAGAACAAACCATTTATTACTAAGTATGTTGGTCATAGACACAAAATAATTTCATTTCTGTGCAATCCACGGGCTATACCTTTTAGACGCAAATAACGATATCTGTGTGAGACAGGTGACATCACTGTTGTCTTGGCTATGCTAATTGAACTTTTTTTTGGCAGAGAAAATTTGTGTGAAAACCAGCTAATTTGCTGTATATTAACAAATCTCTTCATGAGAAAGACAAGGGAATTAACACATCCTTGTAGTTTTGAAACATTTAGGTAATACTTAGGCAATCAAGATCATATTGACTTCAAGAATGGAATTTTAAATAGCACAACTAGTCAATCAAAACTATCAGAAAAACGTTAAAATAGTTTTCTAGGAGAGTGCCATGTCACCCCTAGTGTTGCCTACAATTTCCCTCAGATCTTTACTTAATATTGAAAGAGCCAGGTCGAAGTTGCTATGAGTAGAGGTCATGTATGTTCTTCATAGAAAAGAGGGGATGAAGAATCAAGGACAACTTTCAGGTCAACGACACAGAAGCAGGAAAGCTGCAAAACAGGAATGATGTATCGGGACATGGTAAGAAATAATTACTCCAGAAATGTATCAGAAACAAGGATGTAAATATGATTATTATATTAATTTTTATAGGATACTTATTTTGGAAATTTCAATAATTGAATGCACTGTAAACGAAAGCTCAAGAAACTGTTCAAGACCCAGTGCATTCTAGAGCAGAATTTTCCTTTGTACAAAATGCCCTTGCCTTTGTCTTCATGTCTTTTGCTCTTTGGTCTGGGGCATCATTCCTCGGGGAAATGAGCTTAGGAAAGAGTTGACATCCTGTTGTACTAATATACATATGTCTTCTCTTTGTGCAGAAGACACCAGAATAAATTAGAATCAGGTAAGCAGCCTTGTTAATTAGAAGCAGATTAAGGGTCCCCAGAGTCAGCCTGTCAAAGCATGTTTTCTTGAAAAGGTTTAGACTCCTTTCCTCATAAATATTAGAATGAATCATTATTATTCTGATTTCTCTCCTTTTCCTTTGAACTGCTACTTTTTTGACTAAAGTCATGATAGCAGGAAGCTGGATAATCAACAGTTTGATCATCAAGCTTCATGACCACGTTTCCAGGGTGGACTACCCAGAGCTTTTCTGAGATTTCTTTTCCCATATTAGCTTGCCTCAAGACTCATAGCTTTTGATCTTGTTACAATACTTATGGTGCTCCAACGAACCAGAATTGCATTTATTTTTGTCAGACAACATAGAAAACAAGATGCTGACAAATACTTTTTTTTTATAATAGCAGTATACTTTTTTTCAGACAATTATGGGGGTATTTTCAGTTTTATTCCCCACATTACACATGTATTAGAACAAATGTCTCTCCAGCATTGGTGTATAATTGAGACTAGGTTAGAGACTGTATGCTAAGTTAATCTCAATTTACATTAATATATTTAGTGTGTACACTTTTAAATTACATAATGTGAAATGGTTTTCTACATGGAAATTTTAATAGGATTTAAGAAAATAATTTTTTTCATTGATGAAGTTGGTAAGAGTTTTATTAAAATGAAATGAAAAATAAATAATTGGGAGTGGCTAGATAATACAACCAAATACAAGCAATAAAAAACTGACTAGATTTTAGTATTTTAGGTTCATTTCATGGCCTTTCTACAACACTATAAATACCTTAAAATTAGCTATGGAAGCTTTTGAGCACAAATGTAAATTCATGACCTCAGAGTTTGACTAATGTCTGTATATCTTTTTGTCTTTAAAATAACATTTAAAGTATTTTTATCTAATCATTTTGTCTTTATTTACTTTGAATGATTTAACAACTTTATGCTTCATGTATTTTATCTTAAAACATAGGTAATATAGAATATGATGAGATGTTATACATAATATACATAAATCAAACAATATGTGAATTAATGATCAGCTTTTATATTTTATAACAAACTATATATTTTTTAATTTGCAAAAAATTTCCTTCCCAGCTTAATATCATAATAAATACTAAAAGGAAATAAAGGAAATTTAGAATAGGATAGAATAGCACAAATATTTGTCAAGGAAGTAAACTTAACATGATTGGGGAAAAATGGCCATATGAACTTCTAAGTAGTAACAGAAGGGAGACTTAATATTATAGTTTATTGTATACTTAATATTGTATACCCATGAAAAGTAAAAGAAAAAAGACTTTACCATACTTACCATACTTCAAAAAGCCTTCTGAGATAACATGACATAATATTCAATAGAACACAGATACAAGTCTTGTATCTGTGGGGATCCTTACTGGAGAGCTAGCAATGGAATTATTATTGGGGAGAGGCATCCAGAGGGCTGATAACAGCAAATACATTAAATGAGTTAACAATTTACTATCTAGAACAAAATGATGAGCTAAACCTATTTCCCTGAAAAGAATGGAGAATCACTGTGGGCTTTTGAGCAGCAAAATGTCCATAACTTATTGAGACCCACACAAACAAATAAACCTGTCAGGATTGACCATGAAATGCATGAAACAGTTTGAAGATTAGGTTAGACTCCAATTTCCAAAGCTTTATACACCTATGGCATAAACTTCATTACTCAAAGGTAGCCCATTTCTTAGTTTTTGTTTTATTAAATATATTTAAATCCACATATCATTGTAGCAAACCTGAATATAATAGCAGCCAAAAGTAATTCTTTTCCTAGTGGTCAATCAAGTGACTTTACTTATACATACCCCAATGATTTTAATTAACAAATTTATATTCTGACAATAATTTGGCTAATCATAGAGCAGTACCTCATTCCTCTAATTCCATTTAATTCTTCTTAACTGGATTTTTGTATTCTAGTGTTAAGACTCTGTAAAATATTATGATTTTTATAGAAATGAAGTCTATGCACCTACTATTTTGATGAATCAGTAATTATTCTATAATGAGAAAGAGAATGGCACTGCACAACGTAAGTCACCATGAGAAGCCCCACAAATGAGTTATTGGGTGTTAAGTAGAAGTAATTTTTCTCACTCCTGTATCTAGAACGAGCAGAAAAAGTAACCAAGAGAAAGAATTCACAGAGAAGTAGTTTGAAAAAATTTGTGAAAATAAACATGAGTCATAATCATCAGTTACTCCAATTCAGAAAACTAAAGGTATAAAATATGGCACACTCTTCTAGCTATTGAGTATCTAATATCCAATTACATTGGTTGCTCTGAAACAAAGATTCTGATCATTCTTAGCAATCACAATAATGTGGTACTCAATAATAGTACTGCAACGGTATTCAATATAGAATAACCATGAGCAGATAATAGGAAAAGACAAGAAGAAAAATTTGCAAGTTGCTTTCATTTTTTACTTTAGTATTTTTAAAGTAAAAGTGAGGCACCTGAGTGTATGAAAACTTAGTTTCTGCTTGGAAAATGTTGGAAAATTCTATTTCTACTCTTCATATTCTCAGGTTAAACAAAGACATTTAATATTGTACATATCATATGGTCATTTATTCAGTAAATGTTTAATTTAGTATACAATCATATTTCAGGAGTTAAATGTGAAACAAAGTAGGGTACAACATACAGTTTGAACTTCATTTCTACCCTAAAAGTATACAATTTATTTAATGAAGTTTTATGTGATTCCATGAAGAATATCAGTGTTTTTCCCTTAAATTCAATAGTTTCAATTAGAAAAGGAAAATGGCAGAAAACAATTATGACAAAATCATTTTATAATATGTATTCAGTTGTGAAGTGATGGTAATTAAACATAGGGAC